AAAAAAGTTGTTCTATTAAGATATGGTCTGTGGTTTGGGAAAATGGTGACTCCTTGTCCTGTTCTTGGAGAAATACGTCATTTTATAGAGATGACTGGCCCAGAGGCCCAAAATCTCACTGTCAGTCTGCTCTGGTTCTTCAGCAAATGCTTTGAATCAGGGTTGATTGTGGCAGAGATGGGTGGTCAACACCTTCACCATTGTGGCCCTTCCCTGGCATCACTGGCCAAGTTTCACTCTGGTGAATTCCAAATATGAGGCTTGCCCAGCCCTTTCTTATTCTCTTCGATGAGCCACAGCCATGCTACCCACCAGGACCAGGCCCTTCCTCTGCACACTCTGTGGATAGCAGTCATTGCCCTGAATCCATGAAAGCATCATCTGCTTAAACCGCTATTTCTTAGTGTTGCTTTTTGCACATTTCAACTTCACAATTTCTGTTTCATTCTCTGTATAAATTGGAGAACACTTGTGAAAATTCCTCATCTTCCAGTCCATTTTCTGTAACATTAGTCTTAGCCCTTTTAAAATCGTGGGCCTTGTTCTCTTGAAGTTTTTCTGGGATTGAGGCCAGCAGGATGGCAAAGCTGCTGTCACTGAGGTATGGCCTGGAGAGTCCTTGGGTGTCTGTGACAGAAGGCAGGGCCACCAGCATGGGAGCCAGGAATAGGGGACGACTCCAGGGGATGAAGCCCAAGGAAGACTCAGCATGTCAGGTGTGGGTCAGCTACAGGACCGTGCGCAGGATGAGGCCCGTAAGTATGGGTGACCAGCCACTCACACGGGGAATGAGGCTCTTCGGCCCTATTTCTCACAGGGCTGGTATATAGGGCCCCAGGTGTCCCTGTGCTCAGAGCCTCAGCCTGCAGGGAACCCCTGTCAGCCCCTCCAGGGGAGTTGGGAGTTAAAGGGGGCCATGAGCAGCTCTCCTGGGGGAAGTTCCTTGTCCTGGGACTGGGGCATCTGTCCCTCAGGGCCCACCTGTCCTTTTGGGGCTCCAAGGACAGAAAGCCACAATCTCGGTCTTCACATGGAGATCAAATATGTCCCAAGCCAGGCTGTAGCACACACATGAGGGTGTAGGTAAACAGGCCAAAGCCCACTGCTCCCCCTGACAAGAGCAACTGTAACAGATAAGGAAGTGGACAGACTTTTGAGAATGTCGGGGAGCTGCCTCAGAGGTGGAAGCCAGGAACGCGGGACAGCTGGTGCCTGACTGAGGGCGCCCATCACCACAGCCCACGTCCTTGTGCCTTTCCATAGGGTCAGTCTGGCTCCAGCATTTGCTCTGGAATAATAGGGCCCCACAGCGCAGACGATCAGGACCACCTGTCTGCCAGAGAGATGCGAGAGAGCCTGAGGAGAGGAGTCCCCTGTGTGATGCTCCCTGGGCCAACTGACAGGACAGGGCTTGTCGGGCACACAGGCCCCAGACTCAGCATTTATATCTGGCTCATGAGCCCAGTGACTCTGGGCAGCACAGTAGCACATGGTGGACACATGCTCTACATTGAGTTAGGCAGGCCAGGAGCTGACTGCTGACAATTGGCCTGGCCACATCCTTGCACTTCACTGTACAAGAGTCTCAGGGTGGAGTGAGGTGAGCTCTGAGATCACACCACAAAAAACTCATTGCTGGGAAGACCAAGCATGCCCAGGACAGCTATATAGAAGGTGGTTGTTGGGTCCTTCACACCATGTAAAGCAGAGGCTCTTAAATAGCTTGGGTTAGGACGCTCCCAAATCTTCACTGAAATTTCCAAGCCCATCACAGACTCCAAATTTTGCCTAGATTGCCCTGAGCATCCATGGACTCCTGGACAAGAAGACCATGTACTGGTCAGCAAAGTTGCCATGACAGAGCCTGGAGGGTCTTGCCTTCAGGACCCTGCCTGATACCTCCTCCCAGAGAACCATCTTCCAGCCCCTAACATATTTTCCCACCCCTGTAATCATGCTAAATGGAACAGGAAGACACTGTATTAGGGTTCGCCAGAGGGACAGAATTAATAGTATATATAAGGGGAATTAGCTCACATGACCCCAAAGGCAAAGTCCCATGAACTGAAGAATGACAGCATGGCTCCCAGGGGAGCCAGCATCATGGCTCAATAGTTTGAAAGC